AAAAAAAGAAAACAAAGATTCTCACCAGTTGGCCAATTGGTAGCATCATGATAGATGCAATAGATATTAAGATTGTTAATTTAGCTTGCTTGGATCCATACTCAAAACTCCTGGCACCAGCAGTCAGAAAACCAAAAGACAAATGGCATTGGAAAAATCTGCTGTCAGGGACCTCTCCAGAGTACTGAAGAGAAATGGTGTCAGTCTAGAGACTAAGATACACCAGATCCAAACCGTGGTCTTTGCAATTGCCTGCTATTCACCAGAGAGTTGGACAACGACTAAGAATAACGGAAGAAGATCTGGCGCTTTTGAGTTGTGGTACTGAAGGGTACTGACTGCCAAGAGAACAAACAGGCCTGTCCTGGAGAGGGTGAAATCTGTTGCTTCTTGAAGGCAAGGATTTTGAAGCTATGGCTCATTTACTTTGGGCACAGGGCCAGGAGAAACCAGTCCTTGGCAAAGGACATTATGCTTGGAAGGGTATAGGGACAGTGCATGACAGGAAGACCCTGGATAAGATGAGCTGACTCAGTAACTGGGGTAATGGAATTCAGTGTGTCAAAGACAATAAAATTAGCTCAAGATAAGGGAGGATTCAGAGCAATAATTCATAGGGGTCACTACGACTGACAACAACACATAACACCAACAATCATCATCATAATTTGTATGTGTGTTACTATACATAATGTATTTACCTTTTGCTAACTGGAAGGTCAGCGGCTAGAACCTAAAAGCTGCTCCACAGGAGAAACATGGGCAGTGTCCTTCTATAAAGATCTGCAGCTTTGGAAAACCCCTGGAGTGCCACTAGGTTTTGGAGTGGCACTTGATGGCAGTGGGTTTGATTTTGATTATTTATCATCATAACAATGAGCTTGAATGGCATAGCGTTTTGGCTATACTCCGAACTCTCAGAGTTAAGATTAGCAGTCTCATCTTGTTAAGGCTTTTATTTACTTATTTTTTCATTTATTGATCTAGTCATTTTATTTTACTCTCACTCTCTCATCTTAGATTTTTTAAAAAAAAAAAATTTCTTAGTCTTTTATATTTCTGGTCTGTAACTAGCGAGAGCTCTGCTGTCCAAGAGGTAAGGAGCTACACTGCGAAGCCAGTGGCAGGCAGTTCGGATCCAGCAGCTGCTCTGTGGAGAAAGACAGGTTGTCTCCTTCCATGTGATTTGCAGCCTCTGAAAAGACACTGGAAGATCAGCTATGAGTCAGTTCTAATTCAATGGCACTTACCAATAAAAATAGCAACACTCCATAATCCTTTTGTGACTAACTTACGTCACTCAGTATACTTGTTAGTATAGGTCTCATCCACATTGTGCAATATTTCAAAAAATTTTAAGAGATTTTTAAAGATGGATAATGTTGCACTGTATGACTGCAGCAGTGTCTTCAGCCATTTACCCACTGACAGATAGTTGGCTTGTTACCTGTGATTGAGATTTGCAGCCTCGGAAACCCCGACAGAAGTTAGCTATGATTTGGAACTGAGTGCAAGGCAGTGGGGGGAGTAGCATCATAATAATAGCTGTTGTTGTTGTTATGTGCCATCGAGTCGTTTGCGACTCATAGAGACCCTATATACAACAGCCCTAAACCGTGCTCTATCCTGTGCCAATCGCATTGCCTCTGACATACCCATCCCGATTACCCCAGTCACTGAAGCAATCCACCTCATAGAGGGTCTTCCCCTCCTGCGCTGTCCCTCTACTCTACCCAGCATGATGTCCCTCTCTAAAGACCTGTCTCTCCTTACAACATATCCAAAGTATGTCAGACGAAGCCCAGAATCCTTGCCTCCAAGGAGCAGCCTGGTTTAACCCTCTCTAGGATGAATCTGTTTGTTTTCCTGGCAGTCCATGGTACATTCAATACTCTTCTCCAGCACCACAGCTCTAAGGTGTCAATTCTCCTTCTATTCTCCCTAGTCATTGTCCAACTCTCTGATGCATAACAAGTGATTGCAAAAACCATGGCCTCTATCAGGCGCACCTTAGTCTCCAGAGAGACTAGGAAGAAGGATTGGCCATCCACTTCTGAAATGGCAGGCCTCTAAAAACCCTATGTAGTAATAATAGCTACTTAGTTTAAAATCGTTTTCCTCTGGTTCTCAGCTTTATTTCCAACAAAATGCAGAAAAATAAATGAATGCAAATTCCTGGACAGCAACCAGTTCATTAAGCAAAACATTATTAGTAGCCACTCTTCTCTAGGTGGCCCTGACTTACAGCAGTCCTCTGCATGATGAAACAAAATGCTGCCCAGTGCCGACCTACTGCCATAACCTGGGGCAGATCAGAACCTCATGACCCATACAGGGTTTACAGTGGCTACTGAAAGTAGATGAAGGTTCATGAAGACTTAACTCCTGAAGCCTGCCCAATATCATAGCTACACTGAGAGACAGGTGGCCAGTAGACATGAGGGCAATAAACAACCAGGAAACAAACTCAGATCTTCTGCATAAAAGGCAAGGACTCTAGCACTGGACCACCATTGCCCTTGTTAATAATCACATAAAATTGAAAGACAAACAACAACATTGCTATAAATAAAACATCAAATCCAACTCCAATCAACCTCATATATCTCAGAGTAGAACAGTGCTCCATAGTGTCTTCAATGACTATAACCTTACAGGTCTTCCTCCAGCAATGCTACTAGACGGATAAGAACCAAGAACCTTCCCGTTTGTAGCTCGGTTCAAATCAGCTGGGTCACCCGGCGACCTATTAATTATGTTATAGTGGCTGTTAGGTGCTATAGAGTCAGAGCCAACTCATAGCTGGCCCTGCTGAGTTATCCAAAGCTGTAAAATCACACAGGAGAAGAACGCCCATCTGTCTCCTGCAGAGTAGCTGAGGTATTTCCTAAACAACACGCCTCCAGAAACTATGAACTTTGATAAATGACGACAGTTACAGAAAGGCTTCAGGCCTTTTGTTCATAGGATCACCATGAGTCCTGCTCGACTTGAAGGCAATCAACAACCACCACCATTGGGTTGGCAGAGCAACTCTTTACCACTGGGCCACCAGAGTTCCCTATGTTACTGTTGTAGCTGTATGCCACTGAGTCCAACCGACCCATATCTAACATTCCACTGGGTTTTCAAAGGCAGTAAATCACAAGGGAGGAGACTGGGTTAAAAACTTGAGCCTTTGAGACTGTAGCATAGCTTCTTACCACTACTGAAAGCCTGCTTTGTGCCAACCACTGTACTAAGCCACCCCACTCATTGTATTTTAAGGCCCTTCAGGTGTGATTGGGATTTGAACCCCGTCTACGTTACTTAAGACATTTTCATAAGTGAGTCTGGAATACACAGTAGGAAGTGGCACTGCTAACCCAAAGACCATGTCTCACTAGTGATTCCACTCCACCAATGCCATAATGGAGAAAGACGGGTAGTCTCCTTCAATGAGATTCAGTCTCGGAAATTCTGAGGGTCAGCTACGAATTGGTTGTGACTCTACAGCACACTGACGTCTAAAAGTGCAGTCTGGAGGACTGAACTCTTCCTTCCCGTTTAGCCAGGGGCCCCACTTGAGCTTCCTCTGCTCCACCTTCTGTAGCGTCCCTGCAAATTGGTCTTATTCACAGACTATCTTCCTCACTTTCACAAGTCTCCACTCACCTCGATAATCAGTCTCAGTGACGCGTTAGCAGGTGGTTTCATTTGTTTGTCTAGTGATGAGGATTCATACTGAGTTCACACTGAGAGCTCTTTCAAGAGCAATTTCAGAACTTGATAGCAACAATGATTAATGACAACAATGAAAACATAATCCCATAGAATTTGTCTTAAGCAAACAAAAAACTTGGTTTCTGCCTCATCTGAGGAGATAAAAGGTCCATCACCTGCTTTCCAAGTTCCCCCGTTTAGTCCAGCCTGACCGCTGCAAGCTGGGTTAAGTGATGACAGAAAGGAGAACTACAAACACCAAAAGCCACGAGCTCTCGCTCCACCCTGGTTCCTTTCCCTGCTCTCTGCCTCTGTGCGGGGACACCAGCGCTCCAGACAGGTCCCCCACGATCAGCTCAGCCACGAGCACCTTGTCTTTCGTGGGAGCCGGCCGCACGCCCATGGAGAGTTCTGCTACCTACTGCCAGCGCCGGGAGAGGCACCTAGGAGCACACAGGGGGAGGCACCATGTTTGTAACATTTCGTACCAGAATAGTTAAATGCTGAGTAATTAAACAGCCGGAGCAGGGGGTTCTGCCAAAGGCGAGAGTATTTTTATCCTATTTAATCAACAAGGCGGCGGCGGGTACAGGAGTCCCCGAGGGTTGCGCCCCGGCACGCGGAACAACTCCAGCGAAAGCCCGGAACACTCACTCGCTCTCCAGGGCGACGTGGCCGGCACCCGAAGCGCCAGACGGAGGTTACACATCCTCACCCATCCAGACCCCCAGCCCACGCCGTGACAGCACTGCTCCCGCACACACCCCAACCAAGCCGCCCCCGAGTCGTAAGCGAAAGAGCCAGGGAGATAATTTAGGGGCAACAGGCTGAAGCCACCGTGCGCACAAGGCTTGCTGAGGACGAAGAAAGCCGCGGACAGCTCAGAGTCGGAACCGCGGTCACTGCGTCCCAAGTTCATGGGTAACTCCGCTCCCGTCACCCGGGCTCTGAGACGGGGCCTAAGCGGTGAAGAGGGTCTGAGCCGAAGTTTACCGACTGGGTTTTTTGCAAGAGTGTAAAAGGTGGCAAGAGGATCCAAATCTCCCTGAAAGCGGGTGGGGGTAGGACGGGCAGGTAGGGACAGCCCCAGGCTGGGAAGATGGGTCCAGAAGGCTGACAGGAAGACCCGGAGCCGGAAGGCTGCCCCTTGGGTAGCGCACACATATCAGGCTGGGCAAGCGCCCGCAGCCTCACCACAGCCCGCCGACCCTGGCCATGCTGAGAGTGCCCATGAGGAATGAATGGGGGCTTCCCAGATGGCCCCTTGGGCTCTCACTCACAGGCAACGTAGGCGATCAGGGCGATGCCCAGGAGCAGCTTCATCCTCCTGCGATTGATGGCAGACAACAGGCGCAGTAGTGCCTTGTTCACCATACCCGGGAGCAGCACCAGACAGAGACCCTGCCGCGC